GTGGCAACTCCCAGCCCTATTTGCAAGAGGGTTGAAAGTAACTTGGCTGGAGGCAGGGCCTAGGGGTAGAGAAATGATGAAAAGAGGAAACTTCCCTGGGCCAATGTATTAGGCAAGTGGATTTCTGGAAAACTGGGAAATTATTTTATCTCTGGCACATGTCACATTTATATATTGCATCTATTAGAAGAATTTCATAGCATATCAGTTGTTCATTATCTCTGTTACATAAAAACGGCTCCCTGCTGTTTTTGACACAAAGATGTCATTGTATCTAGGGCTGGTGTAGGAACTGTCAAAATACCATATTCAATGATACCCCAAACTTCAAAGGTCTGTCATTTTGTTCTGCTCTTCATTTCTTCCCTCATAATACTTTCCAAAGACACCTTGTCTTTCCAGCCTCATAATCAAGGACAAATACCTAGTTGCACCACTTGTTTTTCCATCTTCTCACTTCACTTCACTGATCCCTACAGAACTCCAAGTATTCCTTACTCCTTCAGGGCTGCGGCAAGAAATAAAAGCCAGAGGGGGAGAGGTACTTCATAGGCCAGTACATGTTTCAGTCAGTGTGGCAGATGCTAGGAAATTTCGGGACACTGGGAAAATGGCATTGGCAAGAGTCCCAAACTGTTACTACAGTTGGGAAGATGGTGGAGAAACAAGATGGAAGTGGTTGGCCATGGTGGCACCATGAACTGAGAGGCACCTTCCTGTGGCACAACTTCTTCTATAGTTAAAAGTTCTGACATCTCACCTCGACCTGAGGCCAGTTCTGGCTTTGAGCCAGACTTAGTCCAGTGAATATTATTGAGGACTAACTGTAAGTGACCACTCCCTTACTCTTTGTTATGGTGTTGACAGTGGTTTGGCCTCCCCTCTCCCAAATTTCATGTTTTAGAATTTGGCGTTGGGAGGTGGTGAGGCCTGGTGGGTGGTGACTGGATCACGGCGATTGCCTCAGGGAGGCAGCACTCCTGCGAATAGATTGATGATGTCTCTTGAGACTCAGTGAGGTTTAGCTGTTGTGAGAATGGGGTAATTTTTGCAAGAGCAGTTTGCTATAAAAGAGCAAGAGCTGCCTGTAGCTTGTATTCTCTTTGCATACTCCCGCCATCTTTTATGCTTCCATTGGCCATGCTGGAGGTTCACCTGGCTACCAGAATTGTGAATTTTGCAAATTAATCTTCATCTAGGTGTTTCTGTCAATGCAAAAACTAAGCCATTCTATTACATTAATCTAGGTGTTTCTGTCAATGCAAAAACTAAGACATTGTTCTAAGCATGAAGTTCATAAGCACTCTAATATGCAAAGCCTTCCCTCAGTGTTCAGTCCTGTTTTCGCAGATCACAATAGCTCATTACTCTGATCACTTGTTTACTGATTGGCTTTTTGTTTTCTAATTGCCTGGCCTGAATCTCCAGCCCATTGCACCCATGTCTCCTTGCCTGGTATCCGAACCTGCTGTCTGTTCTTTCGTATTCCAGATCTATGGTGTCTCTGGATCTTCTTATCTGGATGGATTAACCCCCAAACTTGATTTCCAGATTTCTCAAACATATTCTTTTTTTTTTTTTTTAGAATTCTTTATTTAGTTTTATTTGTCGTCATTATTATTATCCAATTTGAGCAGAGAGAGAGGGGTAGCGAGAAAGCAAGCCACCAGGTCAGGTATTTGAACCGCAGTTGGTCATGTGGGAGTCCCGCACTTTTACTTACCACATCACCTGCTGGCCCCTCAAATATATTATTCTTACGTGAGCCTTTGTTTTCAGTTTCCTCAAGCCTGAACTATTTCAGGCTTTTCTAACCTATTGTCTCATCTTGGCATCTTGTCACTAGTTAAGTTCCAGGAGAGCTTTGACAAACAAGGTACAAAAGAACAAAGGGATGGTTGGTGGGTTTCTCTGTGTCTCTCTTTTTTCCTTCATGTATGAGAGAGAAAGAAATGCCTTTGACAGGGTCTCACCATGTCATGGTCCTCCCCAGCTACCTGCCTTAACGAGCAAGCCACAGAGCAAGTCCTTGAACTGCTTGCTTGCTTGCTTGCTTGCTTTCTTTCTTTCTTTCTTTCTTTCTTTCTTTCTTTCTTTCTTTCTTTGTTTCTTTCTTTCTTTCTAAAAATTATTTCATTTTGGAACCAGCAGTTAGCGTAATGGCTATGTCGCTGGACTCCCACGTAGTCGACCGTGGTTCGCGTCCCGGACCCGGTGGCTTAAAGCTCACACTGGGCGCGTGTGCGTGTGTGCCCAAGATCTCGAGAGGAGAATGGAGGAGAAGGGATTGCAGTGTGGCCATCCCCCCTGGGGAGTGATTTCTTGTTTTCTCTCTGTCGGGCGAGTGCACGTGCCCTATAGCAAAAACCTCTCCAAAAAAAATTATTTAATTTTATTTATTCATTCATTTATTTTAATTTGACCAGACATACACACACACACACAGAAAGGGAAAGTGAGAAAGCAAGCCACCAGGTCCAGGACTCGAACTGTGGTTGACCATGTGGGAGTGTCCAATGTTTTAACCACCACAACACCTTCTGGCCCCTTGAACTGCTTTCTTCATTTGATTTCTAGGACGTAACTGGCATCTGTGCTTATACTTTTTAAAAAAAGAATTATTCATTTAATCTTATTTTTTACTTATTTATTTTCAATTTGAACAGAGAGAGACAGAGAAAGGGAAAATAAGAAACCTTGCTGCTAGGTCTAGGAATCAAACCACAGTTGGCCATGTGGGAGTCTAGTGCCTTAACCATCATGCCACCCACCAGATATTTAATAGCATCTCAAACTTAATATGAGAAACACTGAGCTTCTGATTCTTCCTCCTTAACTTTATCCCATAATCTTCCCCGTTTCAATAAATGGCAATTCTTTTTTTTTTAAGTTGCTCAGGTAAAAATCCTTGGAGTCGCTGGATTACCTTTTCCCAACTCGCACCTCACATTGAATCTTTCAGCAATGCTCATTGGTCTTTGGCATATTTTCACAATCTAAACACTACCACCTCCACTGGTCCCATGATCTCTTGCTACAATCATTCCAATGGCCTCCTAACTGGTCTTCCATCAGATCCCCTGTGGTTTATTTTTTAATGCAAAAGCTGGTTCTACTTATAGGTATAAGCCAGATCATGTCACTCTTCTGCCTAAACCTTCCGATGGATTTCATTTTACTCAGCATAAAAACTAAAGCCCTTTTCGTGTCTACTCTGAAACCCTTGGCTCTTACCCTCCACTGTGCTCTTTCTGTTTCAGCCTGACCAGCTCCTTTGCCTCTCCTCCCACTGGTTTCTCACACTCTGACCTCAGGGCCTTTGCACTGGCTATTGCCTCTGCTATGAATGCTCTCTTCCCAAGTATCCACCTAGGTCTTTGCTCAAATAGCATATTTATAGTCACATCACTTTAGACCACTCTAGTCACAATTACAACTCTCCTTTAGTCAGCATTCGCTGCCTCCCTATGTAGCTGCCAGAAAGGTGTCAGAGAAAGACAACCTCCCACAAGAAGGCTTAAATGAGATTCACACTCTCAAAACAATATGAAAAAGGGAACCAGCAGTTAGCGTAATGGCTATGTCGCTGGACTCCCATGTAGTCGACCGCGGTTCGTGTCCCGGACCCGGTGGCTTAAAACTCACGCCGGGCGCATGTGCGTGCGTGCCCAAGATCCCGAGAGGAGAATGGAGGAGAAGGGATTGCGGCGTGACCATTCCCCCTGGGGGGTGATTTCTCGCTTTCTGTCTCTATGTCTCTCTCTGTCTGTCTGGCGAGCGCACGCGCCCTACAGTGAAAATCTCTCCAAAAAAAAAAAAAAAAAAAAACCTGCAGAATTCTAATCTTGTTTTTGGCAACAACCACATCCCAAGGCCCCTGGCATCCACCCCAGGACCCTTTCACTAGAGACAGAGAATTAATATTTGTTGAGTGAATGAAGGAGATGCTGTACATAGATTTTATGGTTTCTTTCAGAGCTTAAGTACTTAACAGAATGTTCAATGAGGGTCTAAATAAAAATATTTGGTAAGAAGACATCCAGGGTTCTTGAGCATCACATGTTCTATGGGAAATAGATATAGGGTACCTATAGGGTTTCTGTAAGTTTATTAATAGATATTCTTGAAGAAGAGATATAATTAGATCCTGCATGCATAGAGAATGTATCACGCTGAGGCCAGTAAACTAAAGGAACAAGCCTAGAAGAGAGATTTGGGATCAGTTGCAAATTGGTATCTCAAATGTTTCAGCATAGTCTCAGAATAAAACCCTCACCCTTCATTTCAAAGTCCAGAGAATACTGAGGATAAATTTTGCCTTCTTTTATTTCATGTACAACTCGTATTTGTCACCATGAAAGCCCAATGTGCATGTCCCATTGTATAATGGGCTTCTATTCTTATAATTACTCAGTTGCTGAAGCTCTCTCTACCCTAAAACCCTACCTTCTGACTCTTTCTGTGATATGAGACCCAAATCTCTGTGTTTTCATTTTAGAACTAGGTGAATGATTTTTCTCTAATAGAACTTTTTAAAATTAGAACTAAAAATATGTTGGGCTTTCCTCCAATACACCAGGAAGGTCAAGAGATACGTTCTAGAGACCTCTCTGTGGTTGTGTAATGCACAGCTCCTGCAGACACCTGCAAATGCAAGGTAATGGCCCTCTCAGGACTGATTAGCCTCTCAAAATGTGGGCCAAGATAGACTATTAAATCCTAATCCTTACTGCTTCATTACAGCTTCCTCATATTGTTAGCCAACAAATCAGTCATGGGCACAATTAAATTCTTTCACTGGTTTCACTGCCCTATTAATTCCTGCTAGGAGCTATATTCCCCTTCATTTTCTTTTTAAAAGATTTCAGTGGAACCTACAACTTCATAAGCCAGATATTTTGTATTCCACTTTCTTGGGAAGGTGACTGGCTTATTTTCTGATTTTTCAGTGGTTCCGTGGGGCTTTGAATGCCTCTTTCTAGAGGCCCATTTCAACCTACCTCCGGTCTGTGGGGTAGAGTTCCACAGTGACCACATCAAGAGAGTTCCAGGCCGAGATGGTCAATCCATTGTACAGACACAACATGCCTATCATCATGGATTCGCTGGTGCCAAACCAAAGGAAGAAACAGCTGATCCCCGAAAGCACCATAGAGCCACCTGCCAACAAATGCAGACAACAGGCTGGAATATTTCCCATCATCTTAGATTAAGGGCCTTTGAATTTTAGATCTCTCAGCAAAACCGAATTCTCAGGGGAAAGCTGCAGACTTGGCTCCATAAAATACAAGCACAGGTGCGCTCACCTGTATGAAACATTCATCTCTCTAACCCCTTCTGAACACAGCACATATGAAATGCACATCATCCATTGCTCAGCTACTTAAGTGGAAAAATGTACATTAGTTACACATAATTAGCTTTTCAGTCTGTTAATTCAAATGAAATGTAATTAGATATAATTTTCACTACAACTTAGCCCTAATGAAAGGTCTAAAGGATTTCTCTCCATGGGATGCAAATCTCTAAGGGCCAGGGGTTACAGTGGGACACAGGCCCCCTCTAGACAGCAGGGGCAGCTCTTTCCTTTTTCCTGAATCTGAGCACATACCCAGCATAGTTAAGCGCCCGATTCTGTCCATCAGGAGAGCAGACACGATGTTCCCTGGCAACACTGCCAACGTTCCCAGGAAGTTGACAAAATAAATCCAGTAGGCACTGTAGTCATCATCAAAGGTAATCTGGCAACCCGTCTTATTATGAAAAAACGAGCAGTTTTGGAATTCACTGTCAATAAATTTATATGGCTCAAAATCTGTAGAAAAACAAAGACATTGTCAAGCTCTTAACAGGTGGACATCAATTTAAGAAAACCTACTGAGAATTCAAAAAAGAGTCATGGTATTGTGGGGTACGGGTCTGGGATATCTTCTGGCCAAAGTGTAGAGCCTACTTTGGGATCTCACGTTACAAGGCAGTTGAATGAAAGAATTAGTACCTGTGTTGAATAAAGGAATAAATTAACTTAAAGAGTCCCATCATCATCTTACTTCCTATGATTGGCTACTGCTAATTATGTTACTTGCTTATTCCTTTACATTGTTATATTGTTCTTATTCTTATGTTACATAAAGACTGTCATTATGGTACTAACAGCTTCTTTACTACAATTATAAAAACAAGTTATAAAATGTGCACAAATAAACCTTATCATTTATGGAACTCTGAGGTACAGGGAAGGAACAGAACATTCCTTAGGTCCTTGAGGCTGAATTTATACTTTAGGGTCTATGTGGAAGAATCCACTGAGAAATAAGAATCAGTCTCATTTGAAAGTTACTAGCATTCGCTGCTGATTTTTCTCTTGAGCTTAGATCTATCCAAGAAATGTTGCAGATAGTGGTGGGTTCAGCCTTTCAAGCCATTCTACAGTGGATTAGAAGATACTGATAACACTGTTTAAAAGACACCTGACCCCATTCTCATTTGGAGCTGGGCAGAGCTGGCTTCTATCTGAACACTAAAAAGGCAGCTTGGGAATAAGGTAGGTACTAATAATCCTGTCAGTGCCAGGCTCTTTATTCGGAACTCATTTCATAGGGCAGACAGACCAATGTGTGGGAGTGGGGACTATGGGCTTTTAAATCAAATAACCTGGGTTCAAATGTCAGCTGTTACTAGCTCTATGATTGTGGCTAAATTGCTTGATTTTTCTAAGCACTGGCTGTTGTGAAAACTAAATGAGATAATGAATGTCTGATGACCTAGAATAGGAACCAGTATACAGTAGGGGCTCAGTCAATATCTGTCACCCTGCCTTTTTTTTTTCCCCTCCTTTAGAGCATTTTCTAGACTCCATTAAGTGAATTGACTTAGAAAAATTGTATCTGGAGGACCAGCAGTTAGCGTAATGGCTATGTCGCTGGACTCCCCTCATGCCGGACACGTGTGCGTGCGTGCCCAAGATCCTGAGAGGAGAATGGAGGAGAAGGGATTGCAGCGTGGCCATCCCCCCTGGGGGGTGATTTCTTACTTTCTGTCTTTGTGTCTCTCTCTCTCTGTCTTTCTGGCGAGTGCACGTGCCCTATAACAAAAAACCTCTCCAAAAAAAGAAAAAAAAATGTATCTGAGTATAGTCACAGCTTGTCCATCTCTGTTGACTGTAGAGTAGGCATGCTCATGTAAGCAAACACCAGTTTTTAAAACTATCAAAACAAATGACTGGTTAGTTCTTTGCTTTAAAAATTATTCATCAAAGGATGGTTTTATTCCAGCTTTGAAGACAGCAAGCCCCATCTGCATTAAATCTGATAAAAGCAAACAAGTTTACTTTTGAACTGACCCAATTTAGGGAACTGGGTTCACTTACTCTGACACCCACTTCCCACGTAAGCCTCTGCCCACACTATCACATGGTTACCCACATTTCTGCCAAGAGCTGAGTCCTTTGAAGAGGCACCGGGGAGAGGCAGTAGCACACCTACCTGTGTTGTCAAAGACAGTATCAATAAATGTGCAGTTCTTGAAGTAGGTGTTGAGTGAAGTCACATCCTCAAAGGTGCAGGACTTAAAAACTGAATCTTTGAAAGTTACAGATTTGAACTTGACCCCGAGGAACCTGCCCAACACACACACACAAAATTGCTATCAATGATTTGTATCCATTAGTTTGAAGCTAAGTTAAACAGGCTTAAAGACATGGTGTCTTACTAGAGACTTTTTTGATTACAAAGGATACAGGTTCCTGGGCTTTCTAAGCTTTTTTGATTTTCCCCTTCTTCTTTATCCAGTCTGTCCTTTGTCTACCTCACGAATATTATTCACCAATATTATTTTCTACCAGAGGAAGAGAGAACACTCAAGGTAATTTTTTTCAGCTTTCTGGGATGTTGGTAAAAGGGTTTATGGGATACACAACTGAAAATAGAGAGTTTGGGGATTACTTGTGGTTAACACTTTTCAATCCTATCCTCTTGTTCCTTCACGTATGCTCTTATTTGAAAAAATTCTCTACTTGGGGCTAATGGCTTTAACTTAAGAATGGACTCAAACTTTTATTTATTTATGTTTGGTTATAAGGCACCTGTGCTCCCCAGAGAGAGACAGAGAGACACAATGAGAAGGAAAGTGAGAAATCACCCTCCAGAGGATGGCCACACCACAATCCCTTCTCCTCCATTCTCTTTCATTCTCTCCCATTATCATCCATTCTCCTTCTGGAATTTGGACATGCATGCAGCACACACCCAACATGATTTTCAAGCCACTGGGTCTAGGACTCAAACCACAGTCGGCCACGTGGAAGTCCTGTGCCTTATCTACCACAAAACCTGAGCTGAAAAGCCGAAGCTTCTTCATTCTCATGTAGGGACTTCACTTTATTCGGAGGAGATGACTTGAGACTGGTTCATTTATGTGAGAAACTACGTACTTGGGGTCAAGAAACTAATGGGGGTCACATTCATTTCCAGGAATATTTTTCTTCTCACATTCAACAGATATTCCTTGAATCAAATACACTTAGGAGAACTCTTCTTACTTTTAGAAATATGTAGAATGGTAAAATCGGTTGAGACAAATTTTTGAGTGTTACATGGGGTAATTTAGGTGCTGTAGATGACAATGGTCTATGATCCAGACCTTATCAGTGTTCATAAGAACTTCCAGTTGGCACAGATAAATAATCTTCGATGTGTTTTAATACTTTATTAAAAGATATGAATGTTTACTCAGTCAGTCACTGACATGAAAATGCTTGTTACCCCAAAAAAGTTACTACCAATACTACTCTTATTAGGGGAAGAAAGAAACTGATTATTCTAGGCAAGTGAGCTGACTTAAAAGCAACTCACTATGAAGTACTTTCAAAATTATTCTTGCTCTAATGCCTGATTGTAGTTAGCTCAAAATGCATGGTGGTCTCATAGATGGACCAGCTTAAAAAAAGTATGTTTCAACTCTCACTCCATAGACCAAAAGTAAACCATCTAAATGCATTACAGGAGGCTAAATAGTGACACATTATAGAAAAATTATCAATTTTATGAAATGGAACTGAATTTGGAAGGGGGGGAATTTTCTGTATGGTTAATATACACACTGAGAGTTACCATGCACGCAATTGAAAGGATGGAATAAGGAAAAAGTATGTCTTTTCCCACCCATTTCCAGGCCACCCAGTTCCAGTGCCCAGAGCTAACCACTGCTGTCAGATTCTCGTGTGCTCTTCCAGAAGCATTCTGTATCTAAGTACTAGCAATGTCTTGCCTTGTCTCCTCACAGTCTACCTTGGCACTTACTCCGTATCACTACATAAAGAGTTGCCACTTCACAATGTTACATAGGGAAGCTATTGTTCTTTTTTTTTTTTTTTAAGAAATGAATCAGCTAGTAGTATTTCAAATTTCCCTGAAAGACAAACTTTTTTTTCTGTCATGTTTTAAAACAAATGTATAATGTACATGTTTCACAAAGTTGTTTTGTTTGTTCGTTTTGTTTTTTTGCCACGGGGGATGCGCACTTGACAGAAAGAGACAGAGAGAAGGCAAGAGAGAAATCACCTCCCCAGAAGAGGATGGCCACGACACTTCTCCCCCACTGTCCTCTGGGGATTTGGGGCATGCATGCACATGTACCTGGTGTGACTCTCAAACTGCAGGGTCTAGGATTCAAACCATGACTGGCCATGTGGGAGTCCAGTGTCTTAATCACCATGCCACCTGCTGGTTCCTTACAAGGTTTATAATATTATTAAAATTGGGACCAGCAGTTAGTGTAATGGCTATGTCACTGGATTCCCACATAGTCGACTGCGGTTCACGTCCCAGACCCAGTGGCTTAAAACTCACACTGGACGCATGTGCATGCATGCCCAAGATCCCTAGAGGAGAATGGAGGAGAAGGGATTGTGGGGTGGCCATCCCCCCTGGGGGGTGATTTCTCGCTTTCTGTCTCTCTGTCTTTCTGGTGAGCACACACGCCCTATAGCGAAAAGCCTCTCAAAAAAAAACTAAAAAAAAAAATTTATGTAGAATTAAAATTATTAACCAAGGCGCCAGCAGGTGGCATAATGGTTAAGGAGCTGGACTCCCACATGGTCAATCACAGTTCAAGTCACAGACCCAGTAACTTGAAACTCATGCTGGGCACACGTGCATGAGTGCCCCAAATCCCAAGAGGAGAATGGAGGAGAAGAGATTTCGACATGGCCATCCCCGTAGTGAAGGGAGTGATTTTTCACCTTTTGTCTCTCTGTTTCTCCAGAGAGCATACGTGCTCTATAACAAAAATCTCTCAAAAAAAAAAAATTACTAGGGGCCAGCAGGTGGCATGGTGGTTAGGGCACTGGACCCCCACATGGCCGACCATGGTTTGAGTCCCAGACCTGGCAGCTTGTTTTCTCACTCTCTCTCTGTCTTTTACTGGTCAAATTCAAATAAAATAATAATAATAATAATAATAATAATAATAAATAAAATTAAGTAAAGAAATTCTTTTTAAAAAATTACTAACTGATATATTACTAATGTAAAAAAAATTCTAAGTGATGACAAAATATCCAGCTTAGAATTTTAACATATATTAATAAAAACATGACTATCAGAGACACAAATGTATACTAGAAAATTCTAATAAAAAGCAATTTTTCATTTTAGAATTTATAAGGTATTTGACACTAAGATTTCTACAGATTCACAGATCCTACAAGTGCAGATTAAGCCAGCATTTTATGTGGGAGGGTGAATGATGACAAAATATCCAGCTTAGAATTTTAACATATATTAATAAAAACATGACTATCAGAGACACAAATGTATACTAGAAAATTCTAATAAAAAGCAATTTTTCATTTTAGAATTTATAAGGTATTTGACACTAAGATTTCTACAGATTCACAGATCCTACAAGTGCAGATTAAGCCAGCATTTTATGTGGGAGGGTGAAGGTGATTTTATGTGGTGTGGCTATAATTAGGCTAATTCAAAATTCCTTCCGAGTTGATAACTCTCTTTTCCATTATATAGATCATAAGCATAATACAGAATTCTTTTCCATGTTCCTGAAGTGGTTTTTGCCCTTAGAAATTTTGATTATTATAGATTTTTAGTTTTATCACTTTTGAAATTGGGACAGTTTCCTAAGAATGATGTAAGCTATCATAAACACACTCTAGCAATTGTGTATTCAGACAACAATAAAATGGATATGAACAACTACCTTGTCTGTCCCTTCCCTCTTCGAAAGAAAGATCCAGAACCACCTCCCTGAGCTATTTCGCACTCATCATCAGGAGGCATTCCAGATCCCATCCTCAAAAGCAACCCTTACAAATACATTTCATGTTTCCAAAGCCCTTAGCTTTGCAGCATCACTCCTGTTCTCTACCAGAAACTTCCTGATAGAATTTAACCCCAATTTTTGATTCAGTATTGTTGGAGTGGGTAGTCTAAAAAGTGATCCCCATTCTCAGTAATAGAAGACTCAACAAACAACATTTCACAATTTTTCTCTGAATTAAATAACTCCACAGCCCATCTTATTTTATCATATCCTTCACTCTTCTCTTCCTTAATTTATTTTCATTGCTTTTCGGGGTTGCTCTTAAGTTTTCTTTTCACACCAGTCAATTCCACTACATAATAAATATGAAATAATGAAGATTCATAAGTAGTTTTTTTAAATTTTTTTTTTTTTGGAGAGATTTTTGCTATAGGGCGCGTGCACTTGCCAGGCAGACAGAGAGAGACAGAGAGACAGAAAGCGAGAAATCACCCTCCAGGGGGGATGGTCACGCCGCAATCCCTTCTTCTCCATTCTCCTCTCAGAATCTTGGGCACGCACACACACGCGCCCGGCGTGAATTTTAAGCCACCAGGTCCAGGATGTGAACCGCGGTCAACTACGTGGGAGTCCAGCGACATAGCTATTACGCTAACTGCTGGTTCCCCAGATTCAGAAGTAGTTTTAAATAACTGATACATATATACTTTTTGCTTAAATCCAGTCAAATTCAAATTCAGCCTGAAAATGACTAAATGTATAAAACTAAAACAAACAAAAAAATAAAAACTAAACTATAACTGTTTCAGTGCAGCCAAGGTGAATAAGAAATAAACGTGAATAGGTAGGTAACAAATTAAATAATTTCAGAGTGTCTGGACCTGCCATTGTCGTATTCCATTCCTGTATGAATCTGATTTTCCATTGTAAAGTTAATACTGAAATTTGCATATTTATCTCTCTGCACTTTTCTAGTTAGCAATGCATATTCATCAGACTGAAGATGTTTAATGACATCAGGGAACCAAACAGATAATCCATAGTACCTGCAAAGACAAAGAAAAGGGAGTTTGTAAAGGTGCAAGCACACCAGAAGCAATGAGTGCCTCCTCGACTTTTTCGACTTCCCAGACAAGCACTTCTAAGTATTACTGGTGCCCTTATACCATAATGACTGAATCATCACACAGTAATCTGTGTACTTCTCTCCCCCAATGATTGATTAATCTGCAAAAATCGAGTTAAAGAGATGGTGTGGGATTTCCCAGGTATGTAATTCCTGAATCCTTCCTTTAAGAAGAAATGTGCAAGAAGAATCTCATAATTGTCAACAAATTTAAGATGAAAAATATTATTTCCTAAGAGGTTAAGAACATCGGGACCAGCAGATGGCATAATGGTTATGTCGCTGGACTCCACGTAGTCAACTGCAGTTTGAGTCTTGGACCCGGTGGCTTAAACTCACACTGGGCACATGCGCATGCATGTCCAAGATCCCAAGAGGAGAATGGAGGAGAGGGGATTAAGGCATGGCCATCCCCCCTGGAGGGTGATTTCTCACTTTCTGTCTCTTTGTCTCTCTCTGTCTTCTGGCAAGTGCACGTGCCCTATAGCAAAAACTTCTCCAAAGAGAGAACAAACAAAAAAAAAAAAAAGAGAGGTTAAGAGCACCAAGAAGTATGAGAAAAGAAAGCAGTGTGACTGGGAAATACAATGTGGATACATCTAACGATTTCATTCACCAAGAATTTAAATATCACTTACCCAAAAGACAGGGTGAACCAAACAATTGTAAGCTTTATTGTATTTTCCCTCACTGGGTAGTTGAAACATCTCATAAAAGTCAACCAAATCTGTGAAATATTAGAGGATTAATTTTCTTATGCAGTTACTTAGTCAACTCCACTTCCTCATCTCTTCTCCCAAATTATAAAAGAGCTGAGTTTTTGTTGGGTTGAACTAATTTTCACTTAAAATGTAAACGCTAAGGGTCATAGAAAAACACATACTAGAATTTTCCTTTTTCAACTTCCTGGAGGCCAGTAGACAAAGATGTAAAGGACACAGTCAGTGCCGAGACTTCTGGCCTCACACCTTCCCTCTCCCTAACCAGAAGCACTGGCGAACTGCTGATTCACAGGGGACCCAATGGCCTGTCCTACGACTGAGCAGAGGAGAAAGAGCTCCATTCATGAGATAGCTGTCAACCCCCCTCCCTCTCTTCTGACAACCCTCAAATGCAACAAGTGGGCACGAAGGCAGAGCAGCTTGTTACTTACGCCGTACAGTTCTGTGCGGATCCGAACAAAACATCTCCTGTACCATGTTCCTGTGTCACTCTCAATTTCAATCAGCTCATCTATTTGTTTCGGGGTTTTGATTTTATTTACCTGTAGAGAGTAACAGAACACAAAATGCTGAATTCTCTTTGGGTTATTGAGTTTAGGCCTATCATTTTTAAAAAGGAGCAAAAACTGACTCCAATAAAAAGTAAGCAGTGCCTGATAATTCCTCTATACATAGATGAGGACACTGACACATGTATACAGATCCAAATAGCACCTATGAGGACTGAAGAAAGGGCTAGCTGGTGGCATGGTGGTGAAGGTGGCTAGGTTTCATATGGCCAACTGTGCAGTTCGAATCCTGGACCAGTGGCTTGAAAAACATCCTGAGTGCATGTATGTAACCAAATTCCCGAAGGGAGGGAGAAATGGAGGAGAAGGAACTGTGGAATGATTATCCCCCAAGGGAAGTTCAAATGCTAATTCACTTTCTCACTCTCTTAAAATAAATACATAAATAAATAAGCTTAAAAAAAATAGAGAATGAGGGACCAGCAGATGGTGTAATGGTTACATCACTGGACTCCCACATGGCCAACTGCGGTTTGAGTCCTGGACTTGGTGGCTTAAGACTCATGTCGGGTGCATGTGCATGTGTGCCAAAAATCCTAAGAGGAGACTGGAGGTGAAGGGGTTGAGGCATGGCCATCCTCCCACTGGGGGGTGATTCCTCACTTTCTGTCTCTCCAGCAAGTGCACATGCCCTATGACAAAAATCTCTCCGAAAGTAATAATAAAGAAAGAAAGAAGGAGTGAGAGGGAATGTTATAGAGAAATGGAGAAAGAGCAAGGAGTAATAGAATACTATGAAACAAAATCATCTCTGAATCATTATTTCAAAGATACACATCAACACATAAAACTAAGAATTAAAGTTTAGACTAAAATGACTGTGTATACTTTTCTTTGGAATCTAGTTATTTGATGAATTTTGTCCCCCCTTGCATAGTTCTTAAAGCTTTCCCATCAAGTTTCCATGCTTACAGCATCACTATAGCCTTTTCTTCCTCTACCATAGCCCAACCCACAGTGGCTGGTGGGTGAATACCCACAGGTCACCATGGATGCAAGGGGAAGCAAGTGAGTTTCAACTGTAAGTGTCAACACTGATTCTTCAACCATATAAGGAAAATAAACGATGGAGATTCACCATGAAAAGCTGCACCTTTACCTTAAGTTAGCCTCCATTTGCTAAGGGAAAAAAACCATGAGATGGAAAAGCAATGCTTTCAACACAGAATAAATCCTGAAAAGAGAGAGAGGAAAAAGGGAAGAATGGTTGTTCCTTTGTAGACCTGACCTGCCTTCTGCTGTTAATCAACATTTACCTATTTTTTGTAAATTTGAGAGTACTTAGAAAAGTGTACATGAGGTGGGAGTGAGGAAGAGTGTAGGGAAGGAGAAAAATCAAGAAGTAAGACATTAGTGGGACACAGAAATGGTTTATTATCTGTTGATGATAATGTTTGTATTATTCTCAACTGGACTGGTCTGAGGTATATTTCATGTTGGGTAAATTCTCTCTACAAGCTAAATGATGTATAAAAATTGAATGTATAAAATAATAATAAAATAAATTAATTAATTTTAAAAAAAAAGAAAAATGTGCATGATGTTCCTGCCAGGCATTTTATAGAATTTTCTGAAGGGCCTGCCAATACCCGAAGCGGCAATTCTAATGGGAGAATCCAGGTACTGAAGCTGAATTTTGACAGAGGTGATTTGGACGCCCTCAGCATCTGTCAAATTATGCCCAGTAGGTGGTAGCCTCTCTTTGGCTGTGTAAACAAAGATGTCTGTACATCACAAAAATAATTTCTGAGTTAAATATGAGACTTTCAGTATGGTCAGAAAATGATTCATGTAGGAATTATCTCGTGATACTAAAAAACCCCACAAAAGTATCCTTATCATTCAACATATTACTTTTGGGAGGCTTTCTCTTCCCCATTCATCAATGTTCACTCATTCATTGGTACCCGCAGGAGATGCAAACACAAAATATTATAATTTCTAAGCAATTACTATAAAAAGTGAAAAAAGTACTCTAATGGAGGTTTATATAAGATAGGAGAGAAATGTTGTTCAACACATCCCATTTAAATTAGATATGAGAGAGATGGTTTCTGGATGGCAGAATTTGAGCTGAGGCTTCTACAGAAGTATATTACTTGCCATGTTTGTAAACAACTTGGAGGGCATCTGAGTGCAAGGAATACCATGTGCAAACATGCAGAGATATAAAAAAATAGTGTACTGGGGACCTACAGAGGTTGATTTCTTGTAGAATAGTACAAGCTCAGAGGACAGAGAGTGATGAGGACTGAATCAAATCAGTTGCAGAAAGGATGGAATGTAAGGAACAATGATGAGGATACAATAAGGTAAAGAAATAAGTAGCATAGTTTTTTTTTTTTGGAGAGGTTTTTCGCTATAGAGCACGTGCGCTCGCCAGACAGACAGAGAGAGACATAGAGACAGAAAGCGAGAAATCACCCCGCAGGGGGGATGGTCACGCCACAATCCCTTCTTCTCCATTCTCCTCTTGGGATCTTGGGCACGCACGCACACGCACCCGGTGTGAGTTTTAAGCCACCGGGTCCGGGACGCGAACCGTGGTCAACTACATGGGAGTCCAGTGACATAGCCATTACGCTAACTGCTGGTTACCCAGTAGCATAGTTTTTAGAATTCCAGTTTTGGTGTGCTGGTGGTACTTGCTGACAGAATTTTGGACAAGAGGTTGATTTGAAGACTTTTAAGGCAATAAGTTAAGATTTACAGAAAGTTTTTTGAATGGCCTATAGGATATAGAAGGATGTCTTCAAAACTCTTCAACATATATGTCTGGAGCTCGGATTCGTGCATTAGGAGACAGAGATGCAGAAATAACCTAAGATTGGCTAAGGAGAGTGTATAGGGTTAAAAGATAAGTTAGCTGAAAATATAGAGTCCTAGAAAACAGCAATATTTAAGGTAAGGACATAGAAAAGCTTAGAAAGTAGAGACTAGCAGATGGTGTAATGGTTATGTTGCTGGACTCCCTTGTGGTCAACCATGATGTGGTTCGAGTCCCAAACCCGGCAGCTTAAAACTCACATCAGGAGCATGTGCATACATGACCAAGATCCCAAGAGGAGACTGGAGGAGACAGGACTGTGGTGTGGCCAAACCCCGGGAGGGGGATTTTTTTGCTTTTTCTCTCTCTGTCTCTCTGGTGAGCACATGTGCCTATAGCAAAAATCTCTCTCTCTAAAAAAAAAGGAAAAGCTTAAAAGTAGACCTTGAGGGAATGCATGCAACTCAACTGTATTGTAGAAAAGAAAAAAAGATGGTTCTATGTGGGTAGAATCATGGAATCACTTTGAAAGTCACATATAAATGACTTTGAGATTCCCCATTCTATTGGAGTGTTCCTACCTTATTCCCCTCTAACCTTTATGTAGTTAACATTAACACAGATCATCATAAGTAAATTTGGTAACTTGAGCCTTCTGGAAGAAAAGGCAAGGAAGTGGGGCAAGGAAGTCACGCAGTGACACTTTCTTACCATGTCTTTGGTAAAGGGGTTTATTCTCACCTGGCTGAGAAGGGTTAAGTGAGGAAAGGTATCTATAATAGATGACATGTTAATTTTCCTCCAGCCTTAGGAATCTTCAGTTTAAAAATATTTCCCTCTGTTGTACATAGATGAAAAAGAAGGGCCTGCTGCTCTTTCCGCCATCTTGGAGCCTGTGGAGGCCTGCTAGGAACAGGACTTCTAAAAGGAAACTATGTCTGGAAGGCTGTGGTCCAAGGCCATTTTTGCTGGCTATAAGTGGGGTCTCAGGAACCAAAGGGAGCACACACCTCTTCCTAAAATTGAAGGTGTTTATGCACGAGATGAAACGAAATTCTATTTAGGCAAGAGGTGTGCTTATGTGTACAAAGCAAAAACAACACAGTGACTCCTGGTGGCAAACCAAATAAAATCAGAGTAATCTGGGGAAAGGTTACCCGAGCCCATGGAAACAGTGGCATGGCTCGAGCCAAATTCCAAAGCAATTGTCCTGCTAAGGCTATTGGACACAGAATCCGTGTGATGCTGTACCCCTCAAGGATTTAAAATAATGAAAAGTAAATGAATAAAAATGGATTTGTGTTGTTAAAAAAAAAAAGAAGGGCCTGCTCAAAGGCCTTAGACCTTTAATGTAGCACACCCATTATTTATCTTCATTTCGCCATTACACGACATAGAAACGTTTGCTCATTAAGAATCTGTTATAATTCAGATAGAGCCCAGACCAAAGTCTATGTTGACATTATGAAAGAAACATTTCCTAAATAAAAAATAAATGGGTAAATAAGGCGGTAGGGGACTGTTTGATCAGGTTCTGTCTCACATGTTTTAAGAACTATACCTGGGCCGGCAGTGGTGGTGCAGTGGTAATGCAATGTTTTGTGAAGCTGAACACACATAGGAAGGGCTCAGGTATGCTTCTGGGGGTCTCCGTGTGTGTGGGCATGCATGCACATGCCTGTGATCCTGGCTAGCAGAGGCTGGGAGGTAGACTGTTGTGTGGGGACTTTGTTGAGAATGGCTGTCTTTCTCACTTTGTCTGTTTCATGGAAGAGAGAGAATAAAATAAAATAAAAATGAAGAAAGAAGTCCAGCCAATGACTTGGTGGTTAAAGGAGCTGGACCTTCCACGGTTTGAACCCTGGAACGAATGACTTGAAAAACACACTGGGGGAAACCAGCAGTTAGCGTAATGGCTATGTCGCTGGACTCCCACGTAGTCGACCGAGGTTCGTGTCCCGGACCCGGTGGCTTAGAACTCACGCCGGGCGCGTGTGCATGCATGCCCAAGATCCCGAGAGGAGAATGGAGGAGAAGGGATTGCGGCGTGACCATCCCCCCTGGGGGGTGATTTCTCGCTTTCTGTCTCTATGTCTCTCCCTGTCTGTCTGGCGAGCACATGCGCCCTATAGCGAAAATCTCTCCAAAAAAAAAAAAAAGAAAAACACATTGGGGGAAACGAGCAGTTAGCGTAATGGCTATGTCGCTGGACTCCCATGTAGTCAACCACAGTTCGCGTCCCGGACCCGGTGGCTTAAAACTCACGCCGGGCGCGTGTGCATGCATGCCCAAGATCCCGAGAGGAGAATGGAGGAGAAGGGATTGCGGCATGACCATCCCCCCTGGGGGGTGATTTCTCGCTTTCTGTCTCTATGTCTCTCCCTGTCTGTCTGGCGAGCACATGCGCCCTATAGTGAAAACCTCTCCAAAAAAAAAAAAAAAGAAAAGAAAAACACATTGGGTCTGCACGTGTATCCAAAAGTCCTGAAAGGAGGGAAAAATGGAGGAAAAAGGATTGTGACGTAACCATACTGTATGAGGGAGTGCTGTTCCCTTCCCTCTCCCTCTCTGTCTCTCTCCCTGGGTAATGCACATGCCCTCTGACAAATTGGGGTAGAAAAAAGGGAAAAAGATGTTTCAAAAAAAAAGAAACTAAAATTGATACTTGTTTATAATTCACTGAAGAGCTTACTTATATTTTATCATATGTTTCCCAAACCTATTTTACTTTTTTTTAAGAGAGATTTTTGCTATAGGGCATTGTGTACTCACCAGAGAGACAGAGAGATAGAAAGTAGGAAATCACCCCCCTCCCCCAGGGGGAATGGCCATGCCACAATCCCTTCTCCTCCAATCAACTCTCTGGATTTTGGGCTTGCATGCACACACACCTGCCTTGTGTTTTAAGTCACCAGTTCCGGGACTCGAACCAGGGTCAACCACATGAAAGTCCAGTGATGTAACAGCTACACCATCTACTAGTCCTCCCTAAACCTATTTTAGACAAAATATTTTTAGTCTAGTTGTATGATTGCATATACCAAAAGATTTAAAACCACTATCCTTGGGGCTGGCAGATGGCATGGTGGTTAAAGGCATTGGGTTCCCACATTGCCAACTACGGTTTGAGATCTGAACCTGGTGGCTTGCTTTCTCACTTTCTCTCTCTCTCTCTCCCCCTCTCTGGTCAAACTGAAATTTAAAAATGGATAAATAAGTAAAGTTAAATAAAGTAATTCCTTAAAAAAACCACTATCCTTTCCAAACCTCCATGCACCTAATTTTAATTAAGTTAGACCAGCTTTTCCCATTGAGAATAAACTGTTACTAAAAGAATGTCCCACACAAGGTGAACAGCATGCAAAGTGCCAGTATAACAGATGAGGCACAACAGCAGTTTGAGGAACTGAAGACAGAGTGTGGCTCCAGAGAGAGGAACTGGAAAGGAAGCAGGGACTGGATGGGCAGGGCCTCGGTGTGCAGATTGAGGACTTCCGTCTTTATCCTGAGAGCAATGGGAAGCCAGGACAATGTGAAACTGGACCATGTGTTATATAGATGGGTGCCCATGTGTGTGCATGTACAATAAAAGGACACATATATTTTGGAAGTAAATCTCTCATTCTTTTATGCTTTATGTTCATTGCAGACACGTTAAGGTAAGCAATGCAAGGGACCTCAAAAAGTTCATGGATGATTAAAGTATGAGTTTATTTTGGTGCAAATTAAAAAAATAAATCCATATACAGTTTTTAAATTTTTAAAATAATATGCATGTTCTGTAGATTTTTTGAAGACCCCTGGTACTTGGATGACCTTTCTCTGGCTTTCCACATGGCTAGCTTCCTTTACTAAATTCTGATTATAGACCTAAAAATGGCCACACATTAATTGTGTAAAATATTTGCCCTTACAGGGACCAACAGTTAGCGTAATGGCTATGTTGCTGGACTCCCATGTGGTTGTCCGCGGTTCGAGTCTCAGACCAGGTGGCTTAAACTCACGCCAGGCGCATGTGCATGTGCGTGTGCGAGCCCAAGATCCCGAGAGGAGAATGGAGGAGAAGAGATTGTGGCGTGGCCATCCCCCCTGGGGGGGTGATTTCTCACTTTCTGTCTCTCTGTCTTTCTCTGTCTTTCTGGTAAGCGCACGTGCCCTATAGCAAAAACCTCTCCAAAAAAAGAAAAAAAAAATTGCCCTTTCATAGAAGTATTATTAAACTAAGCAATTATGATATTGTTCAACATTTCTTATAATAAGGCCTATGAATACACTTTCTCAAATTAGAGCTAGATAAAGTTGACATTTCCTAAAAACTGATACATTGCCATTTACTTTGTATCTAAAATGACATAATTTGTTATAATTATCTTTTGCCTTGGTTGTCAGGAAACTGGCAGATTAATTTTATGTTCAATTACATTTCTTGATCCTCTAGCATAATTGTTTTCTGCCTTTTTGTTTTATGTTTCTACTTTTGGCAAATAATTGCATCATTTTACTAAGTATCGCAAGCTCTGTTAAGACGTCAGGTTATGAAGGACAGTTACTGACATCTCAAGAAAACCTATGGGGCTGCTATGAGTGCATGCTTTTGAGGAAGTGAGGTGTCACTTGAAAATGTACCTGGAAGCCTAGAGACCAGAATTTCCACTGAGGAGAGCAAGTGTTTTGTACACACGGTCTGAGGTAGAATACTACGGTTAATTTCAGCTTTTGATTCAACCTGATCCCTTTTTTAATATAATTTTTTTTAAAAGTTTATTTCTTCAGAGAGAGAGACAGACACTCTCAAAAGGTTATTAATGCCAGTAGCCACCCCTGCCTAGCTGGCCTGAGTCACGGGCATATGCACAAGTGTGCCCGTGTATGCATAGCGGCCTCGGAACACAAACTGGACCTTCCCTTGCGGGCCCAGCACCACAGGGCATTACATGGCTGCTGCTTCACCATCTGGCTCCTCATTTGATAACTTTTGTCTTTTAATAGAGATGTTTAAACTAATTTTATTTACTCAATTCATTAATATTCCCATATTTCCGCTCTTATCTCAAGACTTCTAATTTTTTTAACATTTCATTTTACTTTCTTCATATAAATGAGCAATCTTTTTTATTCTGTCTTCAATACTTTTGAAAAGTATTAATACTTTGGATAGCCAATACTCTAATTTCATTCAAGTTTTGTTTATTTTTAAACATTTCAAAAATATTCTCTAGCCTATGTTTTTATAAGAATACTCCTGAATATTCCTGCTAGTCCCAACTCTGTGACTTCAGGTACAGACAATTATTACAGAATGAAAAAAAAAATGATTTCACTTTTTTCAAATTTATTTTTGACACTTGCATTAGATCTAGTATCATATTGAAAATAGTTATGGAGAAACCCATAAGCTTAACTTTCATTTTGAGTTATCAGTTTTATTTCATCTTTGTTTGAATATCTCAAGTATCTTTTTCAAAAAAAGTAAGAGTTTTCTGGGCCTTTCCATTTATAACGATATCTTTTTATTTCTTCTGTGAATAAACTTTTCTCATTTTAAAATTTGGGGGAACTTTTTTTTAAGGGATTTACTACTTTTTCTTTTCTTTTTTTTTTTGAAAAGGCACGTGCACTAGCCAGAAAGACAGAGAGAGAGACAGAGAGATAGAAAGCGAGAAATCACCCCCCCCCAGGGGGGATGACCACGCCACAATCCCTTCTCCTCCATTCTCCTCTCAGGATCTTGGGCACGTGTGCACATGTGCCCGGTGTGAGTTTAAGCCACCGGGTCTGGGACTCTAACTGCAGTCCATCCCCCGTTATATCCATTATGCCATCTGCTGTGTCTTTTTTTTTTTTTTTTTTTTGAGATTGTGGTGTGACCAGACCTGTTGAGAAAAGTTTCTCTCTCTTGCTCTCTCTCTCTCCCCCTTTTTCTTTCTCTCTTGTGTACATGTTATCATAAATAAAATAAATTTAAATGTAAATTTGGTGTTTGGTTTGTGTTATCATTTGACCAACCATAGAGCTTTGGAGTCCTAGATAGGTATAAACAAGGGTCACAATCTATGGGCCCAAAGCAGCCTGATTTTGTAAATAAAGTTTTATCAGCACACAGTTTCACCCATTTGTTTACACCTTGTTTATGGCTGGTTCTATGTTACTGTAGCAGAGTGGACTAGTTGCGGCAGGAACTATATGGCTTACACAGCCTAAAATATTTACATTCTGGCCCCAACAGAAAACATTCTGGAGCCTGGGCTAAGAGGACGTGCTGAAGGGTCGACTCACCGTAAACACCTTCTCAGGCTGGCCCCGTGCTCTCATGTTGGTGTCATGAATTAGCTTCAGAATCATCCAAGCTTCGTCATGTTTGCCAACCTAAGAAATGTGAGCAGACAACGAGGTGCTAGGAGAAATTATCCAGTGACCATCGTGTAATGTGAGATCAAATGGGGTGCAGTGGGCAAACGTACTTGGGCGCATACGAACTATCTGGATATCACTGAATACACTAGCAGTTTAAAGCGTGTGCCTCTAACTAGAAATAGTACTTTTGGATGGTAAAGCTTCATTTATAGAATAAGCCACATTCTCTTCATTGAGTAAAACGTTATTAAGTAGAAACATGAGGACTTTCTGGCCATAATGCAGCTTGCCTACGTGCTGGTTGTTTAAAGCACGTTTCCAGAAAACCCAGTCCTCCACAGTGCCATGGTGGGAAGGAAAAAATGTCCCTCCCAAGAGGCAAGCATACTGATCTAGAATGAACAAGGCACTCTTTCTAATGTCTGCGAGCTACTCGAATATTCGTAATAACAAGTGTTACCTCCAGCAGGAACCGTGGACTTTCAGGCATGAACGTGAGGGCCACGACGGAGGAGACACAGGGGAGTGCGCAGACGATGACGAACACACGCCAGCTGTGAAACTGGTAGGCCGACCCCATGCTGAAGCTCCACCCTGGAACAGAACGGGAAGCGTGAGGGAGAGCACCGCCTAGACGCTCTGCTGGGAAGACCACCAGGGGCATTGACACTACTATTAGTCAAGCCTTATATCCACAGAGAAGGGAACTGATCTGGGTATTGGTGAAAGTGGCCAGCTCAACCTTGAGACCACCAATGCACTGCTGGGAAGAAACATGCTTAGAGTCAAAAGAGTCAGGACCTAAGCATGCAGTGTGCAGGCTCATGAACAACCAATCCCAAAGACCAAAATTAAATCGGGATAATGCTTTTTGCAAAAGAGTATAGTGTGGGTATCTTCTGTTTACCCCTTAGATTACTCTCCATGCTTTTCCACCCTGTGTGTGCCTGGAAAAGGCTAGAAAGCATCAACTGGCTCCCTTGCTTACTGGCTTCCAGCTAGGTTTGGAAAAAGGGAGATGGCAGGAGGGGGTCCTTTGCTTCCCTGCTCTCTCGCTGGCTGGATAGAGGTCTGGTAGTGCGTGCTCTCATCCCAGGCCGCCTCCTATGGGCATAGCTCTGTCAGGTTCTGGCTGCTCCTCCTCCCTCCTATTGCCCATTGAGGACTAAGTGACTCCAAGATGCTTATTATTTCTTACTGCTTTCTCTTCACAGTCCCCACATCAAAATCAATAGTCCCTTCATTAAATTCTTTCCAGTGACTGTTTTGGAGGGTGCCATCATTTTCCTCCCTGACCAGTACAGCTATTAGGAACTGGCAGTTGTATCTTTTCACACGTCATGCAGTAAATCAAGAGAAATTTTAATTTCTAAATCATATTTAAATTTCCAAATAGTATACACATAAAAATGTTTACTATACTATTGTAAAAACAAGCACAATAGGATACAAACCGAAATCTTTTTAGAGTGAAAAGAAAGTCAATATTTGAGTGAGTTTAAAATAGTTGAAAGCAAAATTCAAACATGGTTCTAAATGAGAAATAATGAGGCATATAAAATCTAATGGAAAACAGAGAGGAGATTTATAGAGGCATGGATGAATTATGTGAGATGAATTTCTAATTTATAGCCATGCCTGGTATTTATAAGGCTTTTTGTGAACAAAAGTCAGGTAGTGTACATCCCAGCTCCAGGACAGTTACATAATTATTCATGTTTACATGGGGCCCAGTGAGGTTCTGGAGGTGACTTAACTTCCTCAAGGTCACAGAGCTGAAGTTACGAACAATAGTGCTCCCCTTACCCACTGGAGATACATTCCACGGCCCCCCAGTGGACGCTGGAAATTGCTGATAATACTGAACCCTATGTACGCTATGCAGCTTCTTATATGTACATGTCTATGATAAAATTGTATTTATAAAGCATAGCAAGAGATTAGCAATAATAAATAATAATAAAATAAAACAATTATAATAGTATGCAATAATAAGTTGCGTGAACGTGGTTTCTCTCTCTGAGAGTGTCTTATGGTGCTTATTTTCTGACCATAGTGACCGCTGATAACTGAAACCATGGAAAGTAGAACCGTGGATGGGCTGGGGGAGGGGTGGCTATTGTATCAGAATCTTCCCTACCAGCATTTAGGATGAAAGGTAATATGTTCTCAGGTTCTGGATAGAGTATGGTGACATCTTTTGTGGGTAGGTGGCATTTTACACTAATACATGGCCTTATGTGTATGCAAACTCACCAACTCTTAAACAGTGAATCTGTTGACAAATTAAGTAAACATCAATGGCATGCTATGTTAATCCCTGATTAATAATGTTTTGTGGGGATGTAACACAATGAATAAAGATTATGTGGAGCTTGGCTCTGGCAGGATGTAATGGAGGCTACTGCTCAGCAGGCTGAAGCCACATGGGAGGCCTGGGTTCAAACCTCAGCCCACCCTAAAAAGTCAGATAGAGTGGTACATGCCTGTAATTCTTGCTAATCGGGAGACTGAGACAGGAGGATCATGAGCTCCTGGTCAGTGTGGGCATCACAGAAAGACCCTGTCTGAAAAAGCTGAGTGTGCTGGTACATGCCTATAGTACCAACTGCTTGAGAGGTTGAGACAGAAGGATAGCAGCATGGTGAGATTCTGTCTAAACCCCCCACATACACACCCACTCACACAAAAGATTATGTAGACTGCTAAATTAATCATCATAAACCCCAAGACACATCTTAGCCAGACTGGCAAAGACTACAGATAAAGACAAGATACTAAAACTGGCAAGAGAGAAATGACAAGTAACTTACAAAGGTCATCCCATCAGGCTAACACCAGACCTCTCAATGGAAACAATGCAAGCAAGAAAAAGAGTGGGAAGACATACTGAAAGTGTTAAGAGAGAAACAATTTCAACCAAGATTATTATATCCAGCAAGATTATCTCTCATATGGGAAAAAAAGATTAAAATCTTCTCATGCAAAACTTGAAAGACTTTGCCAACACCAGACCAGCTCTTGAAGAAACCCCGAAGAGAGTACTGTTCCAGGAAAACTAAAGAATGAACAGCCAGAAATAAAGGAATAGAAAGAACCAAGACAATGGCCAACTTAAAAGTGGGGACAAGTCCGGTAATATCGAAAATAACATTGAATGTTAATGGATTAAATTCTCCAATCAAGAGACACAGACTGGCTGAATGGATAAAAAACAAAAACAAAAACAAAGAAAACAGAAATCCTCTATCTGTTGCTTACAGGAAACCCACTTCATGGATAAAGACATACATAGACTAAAAGTGAAGGGTTGGAAAAAGGTTTTCCATGCAAATGGGAACCAAAAAAAGAGCTGGAATCACAATACTAATTTCTGACAAAATAGTCTTTAAAACAAAAACTATTCGAAGAGACAAAGAAGGGCACTATATTGTAGTAAAAGGGTCAATCGATCAAGAAGATATAATGCTTATAAACAGCTATACATCTAACACAGGAGCACCCAAATACGTGAAGGAAAGATTGTCAGATCTAAAAGGAGAGAGACTCCAACACTAATTGTTGGAGACCTGAACACTCTACTATCCCCTCTGGACAGATCATCTAGACAAAAAGTAGGTAAAGAGATAAAGGAGGGACCAGCAGTTAGCATAATGGCTATGTCGCTGGAGTCCCACGTAGTTGACCGCGGTTTGAGTCCCGGACCTGGTGGCTTAAACTCATGCCGGGTGCGTGTGCGTGTGTGCCCAAGATCCTGAGAGGAGAATGGAGGAGAAGGGATTGCGGCATGGCCATCCCCCCTGGGGGTGATTTCTCGCTTTCTGTCTCTCTGTCTCTCTCCGTCTGTCTGGCAAGTGCCCTATAGCAAAAAAAAAAAACCTCTCCCTCCACCCCCCAAAAAAGAGATAAAGGATCTAAATGATACCATAAATCAAATGTACTTAACAGACATCTATAGAACTTTCTACCCAAAAACCACGAGATATACTTTTTTCTCACCCCCACACGGAACATTTCGAAGATTGACTACATGATAGAGCGCAAGGTAAGCCTCTACAGATTCAAAGGCATAGAAACTATATCCACCATCTTCTCTGACCATGATGGAATTAAACGTGATTTTAATTTCAAGAGAAATCCTCAAAAATACTCAAATACATAGAAACTAACTAACCTACTCCTGAATGACTCCACAACTACTGAAGAAATAAAGACTGAAATCAAAAGATTCATGGAAGCCAGTGACAATGAGGACACGAGTTTCCATAATCTTTGGGACACTGCAAAAGCAGTCATAAAAGGGGAGTTCATAGCAATATGTGCACATAAGAAGATGGAAAGAAGGTAGATGGATCACCTAACATCGTGCCTCAGAGAACTGGAAAAGCAACCGCAAAACCCCCCAAAAAACTCCAGGAGAAAGGAAATAATGAAGATTCTAGCAAAAATAAATGAAATAGAAAATAAATGAACTATACAGAAAATAAATAAAAGTGAAAGCTGGCTCTTTTGAAAAGAATTATTTATTATTTAATTTTATTTATTATTGTTATTCTTCAGTTTGACCAGAGAAAGCCAGAGAGAGAAAAAACAAGCCACCAAGTCTGGGACTAGAATCATGGTTGGCCACGTGGGAGTCCAGCACCTTAACCACCACACCACGTGCTGGCCCCAATTATATCATATACTTTAAGGAGTGTATGATTGCTCCCAGTGTTTTATGTACTAGAAGTTTAAAAGTCTCACATCCTAATGCAGAAGAAATTCCATAGTGAAATACAGAAACCATAACTTAGAACTTAACATAAAGATTTTTTTTTGAGAGAGAGATTTTTGCTATAGGCCATGTGCGCTCACCAGAGAAACAGAGAAAGACAGAGAGACAGAAAGCGAGAAATCACTCCCTAGGAGGTATGGCCATCCTGCAATCTCTTCTTCTCTATTGTCCTGTAGGGATTTTGTACACATGCATATGTGCCTGGTATGAGTTTTAAGCTGCCGGGTCCAGGACTTGAACCACATTTGACTATGTGGGACTCCAGCAGTGTAAACATTATACTACCTGCTAGTCCCAAAGAACTTCTTAAAAAGCTCTATATCCTAATATTTTAAGCATGGGGGGAACCTTTAGGTAACTGAATTAAGCAAATGCAATGTTTTAAATTTTTGGCTACCTCACATTTCATAAAGCACATGGTTAAAACAAGAGTAGGAAGGTCTCCAGTACCACTGTTCAATTAAATTAGTTAGGATGAAGTGATTTAACCAAAGAGAAAGTCACTAGTGTGGATAGGGCAGGAAGCCTCGCATGGCAGACAGAATATAGCAGCAATCAGGAACCAATCCACTTCTCTTTGTGGTTAAAAGTTCTATTACCCAGGAACCAGCAGTTAGCATAATGGCTATGTCGCTGGACTCCCATGTAGTCGACTGCGGTTAGTGTCCCTGACCCGGTGGCTTAGAACTCACGCTGGGCGCGTGTGCATGTGTGCCCAAGATCCCAGGAAGAGAATGGAGAGGAAGGGATTGCGGCATGACCATTCCCCCTGGGGGGAGGGGTGTGATTTCTCGCTTTCTGTCTCTATGCCTCTGTC